TCCAGTCTTAGTCCGTAGGGTTCCATATTGAGTTGGCCCACCCTTTGCAGCTATAACAGCTTCAACTCTTCTGGGAAGGCTGTCCACAAGGTTTAGGAGTGTGTCTATGGGAATGTTTAACCATTCTTCCAGAAGAGCATTTGTGATGTCAGGCACTGATGTCGGATGAGAAGGCCTGGTTTGCAATCTCCGCTCTAATTCATCCCAAAGGTGTTCTATTGGGTTGAGGTCAGGACTCTGCACAGGCCAGTCAAGTTCCTCCACCCCAAACTCACTCATCCATGTCTTTATGGACCTTTCTTTGTGCACTGGTGGGCAGTCATGTCGGAACAGGAAGGGGCCATCCCCAAACTGTTCCCACAAAGTTTGGGGATGAAATTGTCCAAAATGTCTTGGTATGCTGATGCCTTAAGAGTTCCCTTCAGAGAGAAGCATGCTTCGCCACTCCAGAAAATACGTCTTCACTGCTCTAGAGCCCAGTGGTGGCATGCTTTACACCACTGCATTCGACACTTTGCATTGCAATTGGTGATGTAAGGCTTGGATGCAGCTGCTCGATCATGAAAACCCATTCCATGAATTTCTCTATGCACTGTTGTTGTGCTAATCTTAAGGCCACACAAAGATTGAAGGTCTTTAGCGTTTGACTCTGCAGACAGTTGGTGACTTCTGTGCACTGTGCGCTTAAGCATGCGCTGACCCCACTCTGTCATTTTACATGATCTATCACTTCATGGCTGAGTTGCTGTTGTTCCAAGTTGCTTCCACTATGTTATAATACCACTAACAGTTGACCATGGAATATTTAGTAGCGAGGAAATTTCACAGATGGACTTATTGCACAGGTGGCAACCTATCACAGTACCATGCTTGAATTCACTGAGCTCCTGAGAGTGACCCATTCTTTCACAAATGTTTGTAGAAGCAGTCTGCATGCCTAGGTACTTGATTTTTTACACCTGTGGCCATGGAGGTGATAGGAACACTTGAATGCAATGATTTAGAGGGGTGTCCCAATACGTTTGGAAATATAGTGTATATATTTGAATATTGGGACTTTTTTCCTGCAGCAGACTGCAACAATCATAGGTGTGAACCAGGTTTTAGTAAAAGGCATGGCGAGTTTTTTGAAGGTGTAATTTTTTTTGTCACAATTTTTTGGGAACTGTAGAAATTTAATAATATTTTTTTTCCCACAATGTTTTTACATACTGTCACCACAGCAGTACAGTGTCATCACATGACTGGTGTGGCAGTGATCTGGGATACTGACTGATGACAGTATGTAAAAAAAAAATAAAAAATCTTTTTTAAACATTCTTCTTTTTTTTTTGTCTTTTTTACAATTTCTGTTATACATGCAGTAACCAGAGCAGTGCAATGTTAACATAGAGACACTATACTACTCTGGGGAAGTGATCAGGATTTTTTGTTACGCTATAAGCATTAATTTTTATGAATTGCATCCATTCATTGGAATTGTGTACTGTTGTGATAACTGATTGGCTATCACATTGTACACCTACATTGTGATTGGCCCTTTCTGCACCATGTGATCACTGTGTCCAATCACAGAGATCATCACAATAGTACACAATAAATGGCTATGAAAGAAAGCTATTCATTGTGTACAACTGTCATGTGATGTCTGTGGTTGGTCCAGTAAGCCCAGTACAACGATCTGTCTTCCACTGTGCCCGGTGGACACAGTGGGTGACATAATCTTGGTGCAGCTCGGCTTCTAGGGTGCAAGGTGCATGCAGGGGGGATGTCATATGATGACCTCCCTGAATAAGTGTTCAACTTAGTCATCATTTGTCTGTAGGCCGGGCATGAGGTAGTTATTATACATTTGTTTAATTCTACTGCAACAACCCCCTTCTGAAGCAAGTCTGGTGTATATTCTTGTGCAAATGTAAGAACATTTCATTGTCACAAAACATCATAAATACTGTAGTTTTTGATTGTTCTATGAAAGAGCAATACTCAGTGAATGTTACCCATTTATGCTTTCACAAATAATTTACTAATATCTTATGCTAAAACCAAATAAGTCTAACATTAAAAACTTTAGGAAAACTTAGCCAACCTCTGTATAATTGATACAGTATATCTTTTCCCCAAGGTCCAAAACAGTGACCAAGATCTAGGAAAGATTACTTTCAGTTCATAATTAGAGTTCCTAATGAGATTCCCTGAATAACATATCTTTCAGTCAAATGTGCCAGTAAATAATCAATGCTTTTCAACTGGGTTTGGTATTTTCCATCTTTATGCTTTTGAGATCAAAAGAGGTACTGCTGTGCCAAATGTGAAACAATCTAAAATGCTAAATAACTGCTGTGATTGTTTTAGAAAATCAAACAATTCCAGACTGCCATAGAAGTTATATGTACAAAAAATTCTAAATGGGGTAGACAAAACAACCTCTTAGCAAACAGATGGCCTAACATATGGGGGCATATTCTGCATTTCAGGACTCATCTGTTTTCCTATACTTTAAGGAAAAGGAGCATTCTTTTGAGTGTATTTTTAATGCATTCTTCGATGAAAGATTTTCAGCAAATACAGAAGATAGTAAACAATACATTAATTGAGTAATAGAAAGGCAGTATGACACGTACAGGCAGACAGGTACAGCATCACAGAAAAAGCTGGATGCTAGGATGAACATGTGGATCATACAGTCAGGTCCATAAATATTGGGACATCGACACAATTCTAACATTTTTGGCTCTATACACCACCACAATGGATTTGAAATGAAACGAACAAGATGTGCTTTAACTGCAGACTGTCAGCTTTAATTTGAGCGCATTTACATCCAAATCAGGTGAACGGTGTAGGAATTACAACATTTCGCATATGTGCCTCCCACTTGTTAAGGGACCAAAAGTAATGGGACCATTGGCTTCTCAGCTGTTCCATGGCCAGGTGTGTGTTGTTCCCTCATTATCCAAATTACAATGAGCAGATAAAAGGTCTAGAGTTAATTTCAAGTGTGCTATTTGCATTTGGAATCTGTTGCTGTCAACTCTCAAGATGAGATCCAAAGAGCTGTCACTATCAGTGAAGCAAGCCATCATTAGGCTGAAAAAAAACAAAACAAACCCATCAGAGAGATAGCAAAAACATTAGGCGTGGCCAAATCAACTGTTTGGAACATTCTTAAAAAGAAGGAACGCACCGGTGAGCTCAGCAACACCAAAAGATCCGGAAGACCACGGAAAACAACTGTGGTGGATGACCGAAGAATTCTTTCCCTGGTGAAGAAAACACCCTTCACAACAGTTGGCCAGATCAAGAACACTCTCCAGGAGGTAGGTGTATGTGTGTCAAAGTCAACAATCAAGAGAAGACTTCACCAGAGTGAATACAGAGGGTTCACCACAAGATGTAAACCATTGGTGAGCCTCAAAAACAGGAAGGCCAGATTAGAGTTTGCCAAACGACATCTAAAAAAGCCTTCACAGTTCTGGAACAACATCCTATGGACAGATGAGACCAAGTTCAACTTGTACCAGAGTGATGGGAAGAGAAGAGTATGGAGAAGGAAAGGAACTGCTCATGATCCTAAGCATACCACCTCATCAGTGAAGCATGGTGGTGGTAGTGTGATGGCGTGGGCATGTATGGCTGCCAATGGAACTGGTTCTCTTGTATTTATTGATGATGTGACTGCTGACAAAAGCAGCAGGATGAATTCTGAAATGTTTCGGACAATATTATCTGCTCATATTCAGCCAAATGCTTCAGAACTCATTGGACGCCGCTTCACAGTGCAGATGGACAATGACCCAAAGCATACTGCAAAAGCAACCAAAGAGTTTTTTAAGGGAAAGAAGTGGAATGTTATGCAATGGCCAAGTCAATCACCTGACCTGAATCCGATTGAGCATTCATTTCACTTGCTGAAGACAAAACTGAAGGGAAAAATGCACCAAGAACAAGCAGGAACTGAAGACAGTTGCAGTAGAGGCCTGGCAGAGCATCACCAGGGATGAAACCCAGCGTCTGGTGATGTCTATGCGTTCCAGACTTCAGGCTGTAATTGACTGCAAAGGATTTGCAACCAAGTATTAAAAAGTGAAAGTTTGATTTATGATTATTATTCTGTCCCATTACTTTTGGTCCCTTAACAAGTGGGAGGCACAAATGTAAACTGTTCTAATTCCTACACCGTTCACCTGATTTGGATGTAAATACCCTCAAATTAAAGCTGACAGTCTGCGGTTAAAGCATATCTTGTTCGTTTCATTTCAAATCCATTGTGGTGGTGTATAGAGCCAAAAATGTGAGAATTGTGTCGATGTCCCAATATTTATGGACCTGACTGTATATAACAAGTATGTAAGGGAATACAGTTATTGATATAACCATGTCAGGTAAACTGTCAATGGGGAAAACATACCAGGCGGTATTAGGATCATTATCAGGACATAGCTTCTTGAGTCAAGACATCATATCAAAATTCTCCAAAACACTCCTCATATCTTTTGAGCGCATTTTAATTGAAGAGAACAAATGCTTCGCAAGAGGCCAAAGAGACTGGAACATGAATCCCTAAACAAGGGTGGGAGCCTTTGACGCTATGGTATCTGTTTAAATCCAAGAATTAACATCTCTTACAGATTACCTGAAGCCTAGGGATGCGATTATGGAAATAGAACAGGGTGGTTCCTCATCTTTCAAACCTCCTGTGTGTTCCTGGAAAAATCAACATCTGTATTTGCACATTCCATGGAGATTGGATTATAGTGGTTCTAAAGGGTTTTTCTTTAATCAAAATATTAAACATGTTATACTTACCTGCTAAAATATCAAATTAATAGTGACCAGTAAAGTATTAAAATTAGCAAGGATGATGGTAGAGATGAGCGAAGTATTCAAAAATTCGATTCGGCTGATTCGGCGAATTCGAGGAATAAATTTGATTCGATGCGAATATATTCGCTGCGAATTTAACTTATAAAAGGGTGTTTCTAGGCTTCAGAGAGCCTTCATATTAGTGCAGAACACTGTACCTTTAATTTAAATGCCCTTGGAGTCTGCTGGGGAAGAGAAATAATACTGTCAGTCAGTATGACATGCAGATGAGTGCCGTCGATCTTAGAATCACCGCACACTTCACTCATTTGGGCAGTCACGGGCCAAAACCAGAGTGTGGAGCCACAGTGTGGCAGTAGAGGCAGCAGCAATGGGAGGCCATACAGCACCCTATGACAAAAATGGAACCCACCAGCAGTGTGAGGAGACCTGAAAGTGGCACATGGCAGAGTGTGGCGATGGAACAGCAGCAATGGGAGGCCGTACAGGGACCCATGAGAGACTCTGGACCTGGCAGCAGCATGAGGAGGTGGTACGGGGGCCCATGGCAGATTACGGGCCTGGCAGCAGCAATGGGAGGCCCGTAATCTGCCAGCACCCTATGACAAAAAATGGAACACACCAGCAGTGTGAGGAGACCTGAAAGTGGCACATGTTTGGGGCATGATTCATGGCGGATTTAGTCAGTTGTGTCAGGAACTGGTGGTTTGAAATCCAGACTAATCCACGCCTGATTCATTTTCACAAACGTGAGTCTCTCCACACTTTGGGTGGACAGTCGTGTCCTCCGCGGAGTTACAATACCTCCTGCCGCACTAAACACGCGCTCCGATGCCACGCTACTGGCCGGGCATGACAGCCTTTCAAGGGCAAATTCAGCTAGTTGGGGCCAAAGGTCAAGTTTCGTTGCCCAGTAGTCAAGGGGATTGTCTACCTCGGTTGGCAGGGTGCTGTCCAAGTAGGCCCAAGCCTGTTGTTTGAGGTCCTGCTCCAGGTCCACCCTGATGCTGCTGCTGGTTAGTAGTTTCCTCACTGCGCTGGTGAAGAAAGCTACTCATCATCGACTGCAGACTGAGGCAGCCGCTGCTGGTGGAGCTGCCACTGCTCCTACCACCCCACCCCTCCCCTGCTGCCATGGCAGCGGAACGCGAGCGCACAGGGCCCACAGTGTCTGAGGATGGACGTTGGCGCAGAAAGGCAGAGACCAACTGACTACATAGGTGGTTTTTATAGTACGTTATTTTGGCCTCCCTCTCAGCAGGTGTGAAAAAGGCCACCATTTTTGAACGGTAGCGAGGGTCCAACAAGGTGGACAGCCAAAAGTCATCCCTCTGTCTGATGGTTATTATTCAGCTGTCGCTACGCAAGCAACCGAGCATGCTATGGGGCCATTTGTGCCAAGGAATGCGAGGAACTCCCTGCCTCCATCTCCACAGCATACTGCCACGGTGCGTCTGGGTCCTCTGTCTCCTCCTCCTCTACCAGATGCTCCTGCTCCTCCACTCCTGTCCGCTGAGTGGAAAAACCACCCATTTCACTCAATAATTCCTGAGCACCAATGTCCTCCTCTACCTCCTCCTCTTCTTCCTGTCCTGCCCCCACAGGGGTCATGTGGCGTTGAGATCTGTGCGCCACGTCTACCGCACCCTGACCAGCCATTGTTAACAGCATTTGTTCCAGGACGTGCAACAGAGGAATGACGTCGTTCATCCCATAGTCCTGCCGACTCACGAATAGCGTGGCCTCCTCAAAGGGCCTGAGCAAGCGGCAGGTGTCACGCATGAGCTGCCAATGGCTGACATCTAAGTTACACAGGGGAGTACCTTTATCCGCTTGTAACATCAGGAATCTGTGATGGCCTTTCGCTGTTCGTAAAGGCGGTCTAACATATGTAGGGTTGAATTCCACCTTGTTGCAACGTCACAGCATGAGGAGTCGGTACGGGGGCCCATGGCAGATTACGGGCCTGGCAGCAGCAATGGGAGGCTCGTAATCTGCCAGCACCCTATGACAAAAAATGGAACACACCAGCAGTGTGAGGAGACCTGAAAGTGGCACATGGCAGAGTGTGGCGATGGAGACAGCAGCAATGGGAGGCCGTACAGGGACCCATGAGACACTGTGGACCTGGCAGCAGCATGAGGAGGCGGTACGGGGGCCCATGGCAGATTACGGGCCTGGCAGCAGCAAATGGGAGGCCCGTAATCTGCCAGCACCCTATGACAAAAAATGGAACACACCAGCAGTGTGAGGAGACCTGAAAGTGGCACATGGCAGAGTGTGGCGATGGAGACAGCAGCAATGGGAGGCCGTACAGGGACCCATGAGACACTCTGGACCTGGCAGCAGCATGAGGAGGCGGTACTGGGGCCCATGGCAGATTACGGGCCTGGCAGCAGCAATGGGAGGCCCGTAATCTGCCAGCACCCTATGACAAAAAATGGAACACACCAGCAGTGTGAGGAGACCTGAAAGTGGCACATGGCAGAGTGTGGCGATGGAGACAGCAGCAATGGGAGGCCGTACAGGGACCCATGAGACACTCTGGACCTGGCAGCAGCATGAAGAGGCGGTACAGGGGCCCATGGCAGATTACGGGCCTGGCAGCAGCAATGGGAGGCCCGTAATCTGCCAGCACCCTATGACAAAATGGAACACACCAGCAGTGTGAGGAGACCTGAAAGTGGCACATGGCAGAGTGTGGCGATGGAGACAGCAGCAATGGAGGCCGTACAGGGACCCATGAGACACTCTGGACCTGGCAGCAGCATGAAGAGGCGGTACAGGGGCCCATGGCAGATTACGGGCCTGGCAGCAGCAATGGGAGGCCCGTAATCTGCCAGCACCCTATGACAAAAAATGGAACACACCAGCAGTGTGAGGAGACCTGAAAGTGGCACATGGCAGAGTGTGGCGATGGAGACAGCAGCAATGGGAGGCCGTACAGGGACCCATGAGACACTCTGGACCTGGCAGCAGCATGAAGAGGCGGTACGGGGGCCCATGGCAGATTACAGGCCTGGCAGCAGCAATGGGAGGCCCGTAATCTGCCAGCACCCTATGACAAAAAATGGAACACACCAGCAGTGTGAGGAGACCTGAAAGTGGCACATGGCAGAGTGTGGCGATGGAGACAGCAGCAATGGGAGGCCGTACAGGGACCCATGAGACACTCTGGACCTGGCAGCAGCATGAAGAGCGGTACAGGGGCCCATGGCAGATTACAGGCCTGGCAGCAGCAATGGGAGGCCCGTAATCTGCCAGCACCCTATGACAAAAAATGGAACACACCAGCAGTGTGAGGAGACCTGAAAGTGGCACATGGCAGAGTGTGGCGATGGAGACAGCAGCAATGGGAGGCCGTACAGGGACCCATGAGACACTCTGGACCTGGCAGCAGCATGAAGAGGCGGTACAGGGGCCCATGGCAGATTACAGGCCTGGCAGCAGCAATGGGAGGCCCGTAATCTGCCAGCACCCTATGACAAAAAATGGAACACACCAGCAGTGTGAGGAGACCTGAAAGTGGCACATGTTTGGGGCATGATTCATGGCGGATTTAGTCAGTTGTGTCAGGAACTGGTGGTTTGAAATCCAGACTAATCCACGCCTGATTCATTTTCACAAACGTGAGTCTCTCCACACTTTGGGTGGACAGTCGTGTCCTCCGCGCGAGTTACAATACCTCCTGCCGCACTAAACACGCGCTCCGATGCCACGCTACTGGCCGGGCATGACAGCCTTTCAAGGGCAAATTCAGCTAGTTGGGGCCAAAGGTCAAGTTTCGTTGCCCAGTAGTCAAGGGGATTGTCTACCTCGGTTGGCAGGGTGCTGTCCAAGTAGGCCCAAGCCTGTTGTTTGAGGTCCTGCTCCAGGTCCACCTGATGCTGCTGCTGCTGCGGCTGGTTAGTAGTTTCCTCACTGCGCTGGTGAAGAAAGCTACTCATCATCGACTGCAGACTGAGGCAGCCGCTGCTGGTGGAGCTGCCACTGCTCCTACCACCCCACCCCTCCCCTGCTGCCATGGCAGCGGAACGCGAGCGCACAGGGCCCACAGTGTCTGAGGATGGACGTTGGTGCAGAAAGGCAGAGACCAACTGACTACATAGGTGGTTTTTATAGTACGTTATTTTGGCCTCCCTCTCAGCAGGTGTGAAAAAGGCCACCATTTTTGAACGGTAGCGAGGGTCCAACAAGGTGGACAGCCAAAAGTCATCCCTCTGTCTGATGGTTATTATTCGGCTGTCGCTACGCAAGCAACCGAGCATGCTATGGGCCATTTGTGCCAAGGAATGCGAGGGACTCCCTGCCCTCCATCTCCACAGCATACTGCCACGGTGCGTCTGGGTCCTCTGTCTCCTCCTCCTCCTCCTCTACCAGATGCTCCTGCTCCTCCACTCCTGTCCGCTGAGTGGAAAAACCACCCATTTCACTCAATAATTCCTGAGCACAAATGTCCTCCTCTACCTCCTCCTCTTCTTCCTGTCCTGCCCCCACAGGGGTCATGTGGCGTTGAGATCTGTGCGCCACGTCTACCGCACCCTGACCACCATTGTTAACAGCATTTGTTCCAGGACGTGCAACAGAGGAATGACGTCGTTCATCCCATAGTCCTGCCGACTCACGAATAGCGTGGCCTCCTCAAAGGGCCTGAGCAAGCGGCAGGTGTCACGCATGAGCTGCCAATGGCTGACATCTAAGTTACACAGGGGAGTACCTTTATCCGCTTGTAACATCAGGAAATCGGTGATGGCCTTTCGCTGTTCGTAAAGGCGGTCTAACATGTGTAGGGTTGAATTCCACCTTGTTGCAACGTCGCAGATCAGGCGATGCTGTGGAATTCCGTTCTGCCGCTGCAGCTCAAGGAGGGTGTGCTTTGCGGTGTAGGAATGGCTGAAATGCATGCAAAGTTTACGTGACATTTTAAGGATGTCTTGCAGTGGGATGGTGGATTTTAGGAGCCGCTTGACAACCAGATTGAACACGTGAGCCATGCATGGCGCATGGCACAACCTTCCTTGACGCAGAGCAGACACCATGTTCTTTCCGTTGTCGGTCAACATGGTTCCGATTTTCAGTTTGCGCGGAGACAGCCATCTGTCGATTTCTCTGTTCATTACACTCAGAAGTGTAGTCACTGTGTGACTACTTTCGCCAAGGCATACCAGGTGCAGCACAGCGTGACACCGTTGCGCCCTGCACATGTGATATGCCGGTCGGGTAATGGGACTTGGCACGGGGGTGGCGGCTGAGGACACGGCGGAAGAAGAGGTGGTAGAGGCGGACATCTTTTGTGGACCAAGGACGTGCAAACGTGGAGGCAAAAGCGGCGTGTGACCTGTCCAAGTTGCTGGTGCGGCTGTGCCGGCACCACTTTCACCCAGTGGGCCGTAAATGACATGTACTGTCCCTGACCGTAGTTACAGCTCCACGCGTCGGCGCTGCCGTGCACTTTGGGCAGAGACCGACATGCTCAAAGACTGGCCCACCATCTCTTCTACATGTGAATGCAGGGCTGGCACTGCCTTTTTTGGCGAAGAAATGACGGCTTGGCACTCTCCACCGCGGCGCGGCACAAGCCATCATTTCTCGGAAAGGTGCTGAGTCTACACACTTGGAAAGGGAGGGACTGCAGCACCAGCAACTTGGACAGGAGGACGTTCAGCTTTTGCACCGTCGTCGGGTGCGTGCTCGCAAACTGTTGTCTCTTGGAAACGGATTCCAAGAAAGACTGCTGACGGAATCCGTGAAGAGGAGTAGCAGGAGAAGGAGCATCTGAACGAGCGGAACGATGCCAACGAGCGACAACTCCCCTCAGCAGAGGTGTTGGAGCCTTGACTGGCTGATAGAGGGCGATTGACGTCGGGTGACGGAGCAAGTAACGGAGCGGGTGATGAAGCGGGGGCTGGGGCAGGCAGAACCGCCGTATCTTTATCACGGTTTTTTTCCCAGGCCACCGAATGGCGACGCGCTGCATATGCTGACGCACGCAACGCTGTAGTCCCAACAAATGGGCCCCCCTGGGCCACAGCTTGACTTTCTGGCCACATAGTCGACATACTGCTACGTTTACTTCCTCGAGCGGCTTGACGAAAAATTGCCACACACCTGGCCCAGTAGGAAACTTTGCCCCCGATACTCCTCACTGGCTGACTGCTACTTCCTCCGTGCACACCGGCACCACTACTGGCCGTGGTGTGTAGGCTGCAGTGGAGCTGGTGCTCTACTCCGTGGCCGTTTGCCTCCACTGACACTGCTGCGACCACCCTGCTCTGCCTCCTGGGCAACCCACCGACTGTTTTTGCTCTGCTGCCAAGCTGGCACCCTCTTCTCTCCTGATGATGCGGAAGCAATAGTCCCTGATGACGACGAGGCTGCCAAGTGCGATCAGCCTCATCATCATCAATTAGGGTCCTCCGCCTCACTACTAGCCCCCCTCGTCTGCATGTGGGTCAGGAGACAGACCTGTCCTCTAGACCGGCTACCGAGCCACTCTCCTCGCCATTACTTCTTCGCCTGGCTGGCTGCTGAAGAGGCGGATGTCTCCCCCCGTTTCTGACCGCCCTCTGTTAGCTCTTCCTCACTGTACAGTGGGGCTGAGCCCACAGCATGCGATACTTCGCTTGGTGAGGGAACACCAAAGGACAGGGGCAGGTAGAGGACACGTGATTTCAGTGGGCTTGCTCCCTGGGCCATGCCAACTAACGGTTGTGTCTGACGTACCCACCGACCGTTGGCTGTAGGTGTCAGAGGTGACCTGGGAAGAGGAAGACGACCGAGCCAACCAATCGATGACGGCAGGGTTGTCGGTAGAGACACGAACGCTGGATGACACCGGGAGCACTGGCCTCTGGCTGCAACTAGTGCTGCTCTCGACCCCTTCCTCTGCTGCCAACGTCTGCTCGCTCCTAAAACATTTGCCTCCTCTGCCACTCCTCTGCATGTTGTCTGACATACTCTTTAATTCAACGATTCTGTGTCCCTGAGTAACAATTCTGTGTCCCTGAGTAACAATTCTTGTGTCCTGTCCTGAGTAACAATTCTGTGTCCCTCAGTAACAATTCTGTGTCCCTCAGTAACAATTCTGTGTCCCTCAGTAACAATTCTGTGTCCCTCAGTAACAATTCTGTGTATGTCCCTCAGTAACAATTCTGTGTCTGTCCCTCAGTAACAATTCTGTGTCCCTCAGTAACAATTCTGTGTCTGTCCCTGAGTAACAATTCTGTGTCAATTGTCCCTGAGTAACAATTCTGTGTCTGTCCCTGAGTAACAATTCTGTCTGTCCCCTGAGTAACAATTCTGTGTCCCTCAGTAACAATTCTGTGTCCCTCAGTAACAATTCCCTGATTCCCTGAGTAACAATTCTGTGTCTGTCCCTGAGTAACAATTCTGTGTCTGTCCCTGAGTAACAATTCTGTGTCCTGTCCCTGAGTAACAATTCTGTGTCTGTCCCTGAGTAACAATTCTGTGTGTCCCTCAGTAACAATTCTGTGTCCCTCAGTAACAATTCTGTGTCCCTCAGTAACAATTCTGTGTCTGTCCCTCAGTAAACAATTCTGTGTGTCCCTGAGTAACAATTCTGTGTCCCTGTAAACAAATTCTGTGTCCTGAGTAACAATTCTGTGTCCCTCAGTAACAATTCTGTGTCCCTGTAACAAATTCTGTGTCTCCCTGAGTAACAATTCTGTGTCCCTCAGTAACAATTCTGTGTCCCTCAGTAACAATTGTGTGTCCCTCAGTAACAATTCTGTGTCTGTAAACCTGAGTGTCCCTAACAATTCTGTGTCCCTCAGTAACATATTCTGTTCTGTCCCTCAGTAACAATTCTGTGTCCCTGTCCTGTTGTCCCAGTAACAATTCTGTGTCCCTCAGTAACAATTCTGTTGTCCTGACTGCCCTCAGTAAACAATTCTGTGTCTGTCCCTCAGTAACAATTCTGTGTCTGTCCCTGAGTAACAATTCTGTGTCCCTCAGTAACAATTCTGTGTCCACAGTAACAATTCTGTGTCCCTCAGTAACAATTCTGTGTCTGTCCCTGAGTAACAATTCTGTGTCTGTCCCTCAGTAACAATTCTGTGTCCCCTCAGTAACAATTCTGTTGTCCCTCAGTAACAATTCTGTGTCTGTCCCTCAGTAACAATTCTGTGTCCTGTCCCTCAGAAAACAATTCTGTGTCTGTCCCTGAGTAACAACTCTGTAAATCTGTTCCCTGAGTAACAATTCTGTGTCTGTCCCCTGAGTAACAATTCTGTGTCCCTCAGTAACAATTCTGTGTCCCTCAGTAACAATTCAGTGTCCCTCAGTAACAATTCTGTGTCTGTCCCTGAGTACCACAATTCTGTGTCCCTCAGTAACAAATCTGTGTCCCGTCAGTAACAATTCTGTGTCCCTCAGTAACAAATTCTGGTCCCTGTCCCTGAGTAAAACAATTCTGTGTCTGTCCCTGAGTAACAATTCTGTGTCCCTCAGTAACAATTCTGTGTCTGTCCCTGAGTAACAATTTCTGTGTCCCTCAGTAAAACAATTCTGTGGTCCCTGAGTAACAATTCTGTGTCCCTCAGTAACAATTCTGTGTCCCTCAGTAACAATCATCTGTGTCCCTCAGTAACAATTATTCTGTGTCCATCAGTAACAATTCTGTGTCTGTCCATGAAGTAACAATTCTGTGTGTCCCTCAGTAACAATTCTGTGTTCCCTCAGTAAACAATTCTGTGTCTGTCCCTCAGTAACAATTCTGTGTCCCTCAGTAACAATTCTGTGTCCCTCAGTACAATTCTGTGTCTGTCCCTCAGTTAACAATTCTGTGTCTGTCCCTGAGTAACAATTCTGTGTCTGTCCTCTGAGTAACCGAAAAATTCTGTGTCCCTCAGTAACAATTCTGTGTCCCTCAGTAACATTCTGTGTCTGTCCCTGAGTAACAATTCTGTGTCTGTCCCTCAGTAACAATTCTGTGTCCCCTCAGTAACAATTCTGTGTCCTCATAACAATTCTGTGTCCCTCAGTAAACAATTCTGTGTCTGTCCCCCAGTAACAAATTCTCCGTGTCTGTCCCTCAGTAACAATTCTGTGTCTGTCCCTGAGTAACAATTCTGTACCAAATCTGTCCCTGAGTAACAATTCTGTGTCTGTCCCTGAGTAACAATTCTGTGTCCCTCAGTAACAATTCTGTCCCTCAGTAACAATTCTGTGTTCCCCCTCAGTAACAATTCTGTGTCTGGTCCCCTGAGTAACAATTCTGTGTCCCTCAGTCAAACAAATCTGATGTCCCTCAGTAACAATTCTAAGTGTCCCTCATGTAACAATTCTGTGTCAGTTGGTCCCTGAGTAACAATTCTGTGTCTGTTCCTGAGTAACAATTCTGTGTCCCTCAGTAAACAATTCTGTAATCCCTCAGTAACAATTCGTGTCCCTCAGTAACAATTCTGTGTCCCTCAGTAACAATTCTGTCGTCCCTCAGTAACAATTCTGTGTCCCCTCAGTAACAATTCTGTGTCTGTCCCTGAGAAACAATTTCTGTGTCTGTCCCTGAGTTAACACAATTCTGTGTCTGTCCCTGAGTAACCCAATTCTGTGTCTGTCCCTGAGAGTAACAAATTCTGTGTCCCTCAGTAACAATTCTGTGTCCCTCAGTAACAATCTGTGTCCCTCAGTAACAATTCTGTGTCTGTCCTCAGTAACAATTCTGTGTCTGTCCCTCAGTAACAATTCTTTCTGTGTCTTCTCCCTCTAGAGTAACAATTCTGTGTCCCTAAGTAAACGTTTCTGTGGCCCAAAGTAACGGTTTCTGTGGCCCCTAAGATAATGTTTCTGTAGGGCCTAAGTAACGTTTCTTCTGTGGCCCTAAGTAACGTTTCTGTGTCCCTAAGTAAACGTTTCTGTGTCCCTAAGTAACGTATTCTGTGGCCCTAAGTAACGTTTCGTGTGGCCCTCAAGTAACGTTTTTCTGGTGTCCCTAAGTAACGTTTCTGTGTCCCTAAGTAACGTTTCTTTCAGTGTCCCTAACTCTCTCCTCCCTCAATAACAGCCAGGGGTCTGCCTCTCTTGAATGACTGGAGGCAAATGGAGAATTCTACTAAATGGCCGCAATTTATAGCTCGACCATTACACAGTGCTGGCTGGCTGCTCTGATTGGCGTAATGCGATCACATGTCATGAAATGAATGCAATTATGGGTCAGCGCGCCTTGTTTGCGCGCCTTCCCAGAGATCCCCGCCCGTCCGCCGCACATGTCGCCGCCATTTTTTGAAAAATTTCGATTCGCGCATCCGAATCCTGCAAATTTTTACGAAATTTTCCTCATATTCGAAACGAATTCCACTTCGCGCCAAGTTCGATTCGCTCATCTCTAGATGATGGCAATGTTATCCAGAGTGAAAAGAAAGGATCTTTTTCTATTCCACTTGAAAGGAATTAAAACCATTGTTTCATAGTCATATGTTAAAAGTAGTAGACAAAGGAAAATATGTGAATGTGGTCAATAAAATTGGCTTACTGCTGAGGAAACAGGTACATCTGGACCAGGGTGCAGGAGGCAGTGGGATGGAGGAATCCTGTGTTGCTGCTCTGCTGGAAGATTAGGTCACCAACTGTGAGAAGGTACCACTCACAGAACAGGATGCTGCCTTGGATGTCCCTGGGAACTCGTGCACCGGACATTACGTCGGAGTATGCCGGAAGTGATGTCAGTGAAGCTCAGAAACCGGCAGATGGATGCTTATGGTTGGACAGAGAAGCCAGAGTGTCTGGGACATACCACAAAAAGACTTGGTTGCTATGATGACAAAACGTTTCGCACAGATATGTACTTTGGTCAAAGTCATTCATACAGCAATCTGTTCTGTGAGTGGTACGTGTCAGGGATCTCCTCGATCCCCGCCGCGATGGTCCCGGCGCAGGCGCAGTGCACCGCCCTGTGCAGGGACACGGGCACTAAAGGTCCGGGCCGGCCGCGGCGTTCGAGTTCGCGCATATGTGCAGTAGAAGCCGCGCGGCCGCTTGGGCACCAATGGCAGCGGCAGGGCGGGATATTTAAATGGCCCTGAGCTGTCATTTCAGTGCCTTTTGGTCTTACCTTCCCTGCATCCTGGGGTTTTTGTGAACCTGTACCTTGTAAGTTTTGACCCGGATTGTACCCTGACCTTGCTGCTTTCCTATCTCCTTATTCTGACCCCTTGCTTTGCCTGACCTGCTCTCCCCTTAAATGCCCCTGATTGTATTTGACACTGCTGTTGCTGACCTGGCGTGTGACCCGACCATTCTATGCCCGCTGACTTGTACCTTGCCGTCCTCTCTGTTACCCGACCCCCCGGCCCGTCTGAACCTTGCTCATCCATCCCTTGCAGTGGGGTCTTCTGACCTCTCCTCTCACATCAAACTCTTCCCCCGTGGGAGCCCTGGATTGGCGCATACCACTACCACTGACGGACGGCACCCAGTAGCCACGACCTAGGTCTCGGGGGGCTCCAAGTCCATCCCCACCAATCAGGGGCCCAGGTGAAACAAGCACCCTGGGGACTTAGATTCCGTGCGCTGGGGACGCCTATTCAGTGGAGTGCTAGTGGTACCGCCAGGGCGGTCCCTTACAGTACCAGAAGGCCATGACTGAGTCTAGAGGAGGGCCCTCGCCGCTTGAGGAGATCTGCAGTGGCACCTGTCTAATTTGACACAGGCCGTATCGGCCCTGCAGGAGAGTATGTCAGTCAGAATGTAAAAACCCAAGTTCAACCAGACCTTGGCACTCTCTACCGTTCCTGCCCCACAGGCCGCGGTCCCCGCTCCCGCCGAGCCGTAGCTAGCTCCTGTGCTGAGTTCCTCTGGGGCATCCGCACCCACTCGTTCCCGGCCGGACGAGACGCCCTAGTACCCTTACACGGAACGTTTTCACGGGGACCCGCACACCCACTACACACGCTGCAGCAATCATTCCGCGATGAGTCCTGTCTTCTCTATTTTGGAGTTAACAACCCCGACCTTCGTGACATGAATTCCGGTGAAGGGTGGGGTTCGTCATCTCCCTCCCCTGCAGGGTTGAACACCAAGACTTGTGGGCCCCACCGATTACGGGGAAAAATAAAATGACCCTCACCTTAGTTCGGTTTGACTAATTTTTTTTTGACGCCATGGCCATCCTTTATGATGAACCCCCCCCCCAACAGCGGCTGCTGCTTCTGACTGAAAGCTACTTTTGTACACGCTCCGGCAACGGCCGCCGTTAGCGGTGGAGGACGTACCGTCGTGCTGAGTTTAGGCGGCTGGATGGGGGTGAGTCACAACCGCCTGGTAACGAGTTTCGCATCATCCTGCATCAGTTCCGCTATAGGCCTATCATAAGGCCGGAATGATGAGATCGCCCGGGGGTGGAGGTGCCTGAGACTTTAGGAGGACACTAATAGCCACCTGACCATTAAAATTGGACCGTTAGACTGCGGGAACGCAGGTTTTGAGAGGTCTCCGGCCAGGGGTCATGGAAATCCATGGGGAGTCCATTTCAAGGGTTCCCACGTCAAGCACCTAGGGTCGCAAAAACATCCAGAAGACCGGACACACAGGTGATATCCCTGAACCCATGCAAACTCCGGCCTGGCACGGCTCTAAAAACTATCTCCGAGAGAACTTCAGCGCAGGATACGATTCCCAGAACCTGTGCCTTATACTGTTGTGAAGCTGGTCATATGGTACGATCCTGCCCGCAGTAACTGGAGTAAGTGCACCTTTCTTCCTTATACTTTGGCAATTGTTGGTCCCATCCCAATACTTAGTGGGTGCCCCTTTCCTTTCGGGTTCCAGAAAGGACCGGGGGAAGTATCGGCCAAAATTTAAATTGGGGGGGCATCAGCGTTTCGGGACTTTTTAATTTTGCCCCACCCAACAGGGAAATTCCCCTCCCAATTTAAACAGAAGGGGTTCAATTTTTTATTTGGGGCCGCCCGGTTTCCCAAATTTAAAATCGGGGGTATTTGAACCAGGAAAAACCCCCTCCGTCACCACTGCCCATTGCCAGCCACCACCGGGAACTCCTCCCCCCGGGATGCTTTTTAAGCTTCACCCCCCTTTTCCCCAGTCATTTGGGGCTCCCTGGTTAGGGCCCAAAACCCCCCAAATTTGGGACTGGGGAAAACCGGAGAAATTCTCTTTCCCTTCCCCAAAACTTTTGGGTTTTCCCCCTGCCACACTTCGGGCCCGGGGGTCCCCCAAACCCTTTTCCTGTGCTCTGAGGGGGAAGTAAATTTTTAAAACAAGTAATCCCTTGCGGGTCTACCATGAGTTTTTAGATGTTTTTCCAGCAAAGGGGGAACCTTTTTACTCTACCCCCCCACCCCCCTTATGACTGCCCCCGTTGACCTGTTCCCCGGTTCGGGAAATTCCTTTTGGGCGAATTTTCCCCCCTTTTTCAGACCTCGAAATTGGGGGGCCCTTTAAAGGAATTTTCGAGGCCAGCCTCCAAAAGGGGGTTTTAACCCACCCCTCCCCCCTTCACCGGGGGGGGCAGGAATTTTTTTTTTTGGGAAAAGAAAAAAAAAACCCTTTTAAGGGCCCCATTTATGGGTTTAAAACAGGGAATTAAAAGGGGTCACGTTTAAAAAAACCGTTACCCACTGCCTTGTACCAGAGTTTTTTCCAAAATTTTAAAAACCCGCGGGGTTTTTTTACAAAGTGGATCGGGGGGGGCCGGTTACAACTTTTCGCAAAGGGAGGGGGAAAAGGGGGAAGGACGGCCTTCCCCCACCCGCTTCGGCCTTTTTTGAATTTTGGTCATTTGGTTCGGGTTGTGAAATCCCTCCGGCCACGTTTCAACACTTTGTAAATTAAATTTTTTTGGGGAATTTCTGGATGTCTTTGTTATCGTTTTTTTTAAAGACAAAAATTTTGATTTTCTCCCCTTTTTGGGGAACACAAATCATGTACAAAGGTTTTGGGGGGCCGATTGGGGGCACAGGGGTTGTACCCCAAAGGCAGAAAAAAATGTTTTTTTAAAACAATCCAGAAATTGCCTTTTTGGGCCTGATTATCCCACCGGGGGGGGTCGGGGGGGGAAATCCCCAAAAGTCCCCTCCCCAATATTGGGTTTTGGCCTGAACCCCCCGGCCCAGGAAAGGCGTCCAACAATTTTATGGGTTTTTTGAAAATTTTTTACCGGAAGTTCTTTCCAAGAACTTCTGGGTTTGGCCCTCCCCCTTTAACCTAAATTAAACCCAAAAGCGGGGGAACCCCGGTTTTCCAGGGGAAACCCCAGGGCCCCAGGAAGTTTTTGAAGCCTTGAAGAAGTTTTCACCTTGGAACCCTTTTTTGGGGTCACCCAGAAGGGCCCCCCTGCCCAAAAACCTTGGGAAAGGTAGATGCTTTCGGAAATCGGAAAAGGTTTCCCCTTCCTCCCCCGGGGAAAAAAGGGCCACCAAGGAACTCCCTTTCCTCCTTAGCTTTTCTTCTCCCCGGAAGTTTTAACCCCAAAGGGGAGAAGAATTATGAAATCGGTGATCGGGGAAGTACGGGCGATAAAAAACGGCTTTAAAAGGGGAAAAAGGGGGTCCTGCTGGAAGGTGGGGTTTGCACCCCACCCTTAATTTTTTACTGACCACAAGAAATTTTGAATATCGAAAACCCCCCAAAAGGCTCTACCCCGGGGGACAGGCAAGATGGGCACTATTTTTTTTCAAGATTTCAATTTTCCACTTACGTACCCCGGGGATCAAAAAAACCCCTAACCCAGAGGCGTTTTTAAAGTATGTACGGGGGACGCCAAGGGGGATCCCAGTCCCCAAACCCCCAAAATCCTGTCCCCTGGGGTAACTTTTTGGGCCCCTTCAGCGGTTTTTTCTTTCCAAGCTAAGGAGGAAACCCACAACCATTTTTACCCCAGGGGAGGGCCCCCCCAGAACAAGGGGGACCCCCTGGGGGGGAAGATGTTTTGTGGTGCCGGGGAAAGCCCAACCCGGTTTTGGGGCATTGCCTAAAACCCCCGATGGCGGGGCATTTTTGCCCCAGAAAAGACCCTGGAATTTCTCCGCCCCATTTGGGGGCCCCAGACATCCCCCTAAAGATTGAAAGGGGCAAATGAAAGGGTCCGTATCACCTGCCATAAAAACAAGCCAAGCAAGAAACCCAAATTTTGGGGGCCCCCCGGGGGGCCGACCCTTCCCGATTCCTAAGGGCCCTTGGAAAAAAGATCTCTTTTAGATTTTATAGTCGAGCTTCCGAAAACACTAGACCCCCAAGGGAAAACCCTGGGGGTCGGGCCGCTTGCCCAAAGAGGGCCCCCCACTTCACCCCCGTTGAAAAAAACCCCCTCGGGGGCCCGGGAGATTGCCCGGCCCTTCCTTCGTGAGGTTGGTAAGGCTGCATGGGGTCCCCGAAAAACCTTGTCTGGGCCCGGGGGGGCCCCGTTCATGTAAATTTTTTTGGGAGAGCACTGTAAAAACCCTGGACATAAAATTTTGTCTCTTCCTCTCGTTCCACCCCCAAACTAAGGGGTTAAAACCCAAAAAGGGCCAATCAGACCCTAGAGCAATACTTAAAATGCAATTTACTTGGGTTTACTCAAAAAGACTGGATCCCACTTCTACCCCTAGGGGAAATTTGGGCGAAAAACCAACGCCCCCATCAGCGACGGGCCCAGCCCCCGTTTTTTGCCAATTTATGGCTTTCCCCCAGTCTTCCTCCCGGATTTTGGTCCGGAAGGGCCCAGTACCAGCAAACGCAAGAGATGTGGGAAAGTTTTTCCCCCGCGAAAAATAAAAAGTTTCAAGGGGCCCAAATCAGTCGGGCCCAGGAAGACACGGGAAGGGCATTCAATGGGAAAAACCGGAGAAGATCTGGTGTTGGGGCCCTGGGGGAAGGTTTGGCAAACCGTCCCAATTTAAAAAAAAGTTCCCCTTTCATAAAAATTTGGGGACCCAAATTTATAGGCCCCCTCTGCATTAAAGGGGAGGGTTTAAAACGAAGGGGCCCTACAACTCGTCCTTCCTGACACCCCCTCAAGTTTCCACCCAGTCTTCCATTTTGTCCCCGGGCTAAGCCTATTTCCCCCAGATCCCTTTCCCCTGCCCGGGGATCTGCCCCCCGGGAACCCCTTTAACGGGGGGGGGTTTGAAAAAGGGAATTTGGGGGTTAAAACCCAATCCTGAAGTGTCGAAGGGGGGAGGCCCAAACCCCCAATTTTCCCTTATAAAATGGAAGGGCTAGGGCCCCTTGGGAGGACAATTTTTGGGGAAACCAGCCCTAAGGGTCCATGCACCCAGACTTGTCCGGGGGGTTTTTTTCGCGATAAACCCGTGGTGGAGAGATCTAGGGTGGGCAATCCGGAGGTTGCCGTAGGGGGGGGGCTCAATGTCAGGGATCTCCTTGATCACCCCGCCGCGATGGTCCCGGTGCAGGCGCGCAGTTGCACCGCCCTGTGCAGGGACATGGGCACTAGGTCCGGGCCGGCCGCGGCGTTACGAGTTCGCGCATCGGGCACCAATGGCAGCGCAGGGCGGGATATTTAAATGGCCCCTGAGCTGTCATTCAGTGCCTTCTGGTCCTTCCCTGCATCCTGTGAACCTGTGAACCTGTACCTTGTAAGTTTTTGACCCGGATTGTACCTGGACCTTGCTGCTTTCTCCTATTCTGGACCCCTTGCTTTGCCTGACCTCTCTCTGAATGCCACCTGATTGGATTGACTGCTGTTGCTGACCTGGCGTGTGACCCCGACCATTCTATGCCCACTGCCTTGTAACTTGCCATCCCTCTCTGTTTACCGACCCAGGGCCCGTCTGACCTTGCTCATCTCATCCCAGATCCCTTGCAGTGGGGTCCTTCTGACCTCTCTACATCCAGGACTCTTCCCGTGGGAGCCCTTGGCGGCATACCACTACCACTGACGGACGCACCCAGTAGCCCACGACCTGGTCTCGGGGGGCGGGGGGCTTCCAAGTCCATCCCCACCATCAGGGGGCCCTGGTGAACAAGCACCCTGGGACTTAGATTCCGTGCGCTGGGGACGCCTATTCAGTGGAGTGCTAGTGGATTACCGCCAGGCGGTCCCTTACAGGTTACGTTCTCACAGTTGGCGGACCTGTGTCCATTATAACTATAGACAATTGGGTTTAATTCCTTTCAAGTAGATAATAAAAATCTTCTTTTTTACTCTGGATAACATTATTGTCATCATCCTTGCTAATTTTTCTTGTTCAAACAATTTTATTAACAATAAAGCAGAATGGTTACAAACACATGGAGACATTGCTAATGTACAATGGACATGGAAGTGGCAATTAGGACAGAAAAAAAAAAAATGCACAGTACATATGTCTATATACTACTAGTATTAAACACAGGTAGATTAAAAGTTGACAATAAAGGATATTATTGTTCCCAGCGCAATCAAAGTACTGACTCCCGAGTGCATTATTTAAAGAGATCAGGGGGAAGTTTGAAAGTTGAAGGGGGGGTCAAACCGGGATGGGATGGGGGGAGAGGGAAAGTGGAACAGCAGCCATGACTCCATGAGCGTTCGACAGATTTACATCAGTCCCTGCGTGCTACGTACAAAGGGCTTATTGATGTTTATATCCAAATTGCATAGTATATAAATCTGGGTAGAAAGGAGTGATTCGTTCAAAGTTTAGGGGGGAGGAGGAGCGCCTCTACCCAGGGGCTCCATATGCGCAAGAATTTAGGAATCATGTCAAGAATTGTGGCTTCCACCTTTGCTTGTATCATGGCTTGTGTTATTCTGGTTTTGACGGCGCGCGATACCCCAAGGTGTGGGATTTCCCAAGATTTTGCTATAACCTGCTTAGCCGCCATCGTAACTTGCATTAATGAGCTTAATTGCGATCGTTGGAGAGACGCCAGGGGGGCATTGATTGAGTAGGGCGCTATTGTTGGGTCGGGTTGTAGTGTGATTGTGCTAAGTGTAGATATCATGGTGTTGAAGATCTCACCCCAAAAGGCACGGGCTACCCCCCCCCCCCCCCCCCCCACTGGACAGTCCCACCACATATGGTTTAATGCGTTTCTGGGTCCGTACAGCCTCTCTAAAAACAGTTTTGGGTGAGTAATTAGGGGTAAATTTTGCGGATTCTTGCCGGGGACTATCAGTACCATCGGGTTAAGATTTTATAATCGTTTCCAATTGCTAACAATGTTCTGTGAGGATGATTTGGTGTTGGCCCAAATGCGTGGTCCCATTCAGAGGGTCAAATTTCTTTTTCCCATATCCGCTTCCCACTTATGGGTATACAGAGGGGGGGGACGTGGTAACCGAATAGTGGTGAGGAGTGAATATAAGCAGGAAATAAGCCCACGTCTATGTGGGTCTTTGTAGCATGCTCGTTCAAAGAAAGACATGGTGTCTGGCCCGATTGGTTATTGTGGTATAGGGGGCGTTTAAAAGTGTTGTAGCTACAAGTATCGGAAATTCTTCTCGGAGTGCTGGGAGGCTATGCGTTTCCCGCAGCGAGGCAAAGGATTTTAAAACTTATTCCTCTGTAGGAAAAATTATGTGTACGGAGTAAATTAGCAGAGGACACAGGCTTTTAAATAAAAGGGGTGTCTGCCAAGCTGGGGGAATGCTAGGGTTTCGCAGGAACTGAGAGCATAGGGTTATGTGGGGATTGGAGAAGATAACGGGGGTTTTCAGTTTGTTCCATAAGGATAGAAAGTGAGACGTGATGGGGTTGGTTATAGGGGCGGCGGTCTATCGGCCTCAACCAGAGTCAAGTTTGCACGCGTAGATAAGGGGTCGCACTTCTATCGATTCCAGCGCAACCATTGTGGGATTTCAAAAAGTTGCATGGTATTTAGGCAACTGGGGCTAAATGCGCTGCCTGGTAATATTTGCTAATATCAGGTTAGGCCCAAACCTCGCCACTGAGGCTCTAGGGCTGATAGAGGGGTGGATGAGCGAGGGTATACGAGGACGAGTATTGCCCCATACATAGATAAAGATGCGACGCTGCAGTGTGCGGACCGGTAGTGAGGAGGTAGTGGGACGCGGGAGGACTCTAAAACAGATTATAGAATTTTTTGGGAGGATTGACATCTTGATTAACTGCTTTTCTGCCGAGCCATGCGAGGGAGAAGGGAGGACCATTTGGTCAGAAGGGTTGAGAGAGTGGGTCGGGTTAAGCATCGGTAGATAGTTAGCTGCGGGTAAAGGTCCGATAATCTTGGTGTCAGTTTGATCCCCAAGAAAGGGATATGACACTGTGACCATGGGAATGGTGAGAAAATTTGCTGCAAATGCGACAACTCTATAGGGGGGAGAGAAATGAATGTTGAGTGCTGTTGATTTATTAGGGTTTATTATTAGGCCCGAAAGCGCGCCAAATGTCTCAAGGAGCCGGAGTAAGGAAGGGGTGGAAGTTAATGGGATGTGAGAAAGAGCAGGACGTCATCTGCAAAGAGACATAATTTATGATGCGTGCCTCCTATTTTGAGTCCCCTAACATCCGGGTTAGCTCTGATTAGGAGGGCCAGGGGCTCTATAGCCAGGGCAAAGAGCAGGGGGGGACAGAGGACAGCCCTGTCTCGTGCCTCTGGAAATTGGGAACTGAGCTGATCTGTGCCCCAGATACCTAATTCTGGCCGAAGGTTCTCGATACAGTGAAAATATCCAGGTTAAGAAGTGTGGGCCAAAACCCCAACGATGCAAAATATAGTTGAGGTATGGCCATGAGACTGTATCTAATGCTTTCGGATGTCTAGGGAGAGGAAACAGGCAGGAATATTACGAGACCTGGCTAAGTTTGCTAGAAGAGATGCACACCTGATGTTATCTCCTGCTTGTCTAGTTGGGATAAAGCCCACTTGGTCGTTATGAATTAGAGAGCCAATACATAAGTTAAGACGCGAAGATAGGATTTTTGCTAACAGTTTGATGTCAATATTGAGAAGAGATATTGGCCTGTAATTGGACCACTGTGTGTCGTCAGAATTCGGCTTTGGGATCATTGAAATGTTCGCTTGCACTGTTTCGTGGTTAAAGGTTTGGCCAGATAGTAGATCGTTAAAGCGTTAGTAAGGATGGGAGTGAGGAGGTGAGCAAATTTCCTATAATAAGTGGCTGAGAAAGCCATCTGGTCCCGGGCGTTTTCGTAATTTTAGATTTTTAATAGCGTCTAAGGTTTCAGTAGGAGAAAAAGGTCGCTCAAGCGCCACTAACTGGCACTCTGAGAGTTTCGGGAAGGAAATGGAACTTAGAAGGGTATCAGCTTGTGCGGGGTCAAAAGGTGTGGAAGAAGAGTAAAGCTGTGACAAATGTTTATGGAAAGTCTGTAGAATGAGTTCTGGGTTACTAGTGAGGTTGCCAAAGGAGGAGCGAATCCGGATAGGTTTAGTGAGCTGGTCGAGCCTACGGAGTGAGAGGGCCAAGAGTGTATTGGGTTTATTTGTCCTGATATAATATTTATGTCTAGATCTACGTAGAGAGAGTTCCGCTTGATCTGTGAGAAAAAGATCTAGAGCCAATCTAGATCGCTCTAAGGCTTCACGATTGGCGGGCGTAGCAGCCGCCTGGAAAGTTTGATGGGAACGATCATAGGTTTGCTCCAGTAAGAGACGTTGTTGTCTTTTGGTTTTATTTAAAAAGGATGCTTTGCTAATGCAGAACCCTCTCAATACCGGTTTATGCGCTTCCCATAACAGGAGAGGGGATATATCAGGAGATTGGTTAAGAGTGAAATAGTCTTTTAGGGCTGCTTCAATTTCTAAACAGTGATCTGGGTTAGCAAGCAGGTTGTCATTAATGACCCAAGAGGATTCAGTAGGAGATGGGGCTAACGAGGCCATAACCGTGAATACAGCGCAATGGTCAGTCCAAGGGATTGGAATTATTTCAGAGGTCAGGAGCTGAGGGGAAGAGGCGGTAGCAATGAATATATGGTCTATCCTGGAGAATGACTAGTGGGGATGAGAGTAAAAGGTGTATTGGCGTTTAGTCGGGTTGAGTTCCCGCCATGTGTCTATCAAAGAATAACGATGTAGTATGGCTTGGAAGGTCTGTTTAGAGGCAGGGATGGGGATGGTTGAGGAGATTTGTCAAGAAAGGGATATATTACACTGTTAGAGTCCCCGCTAACAATTAGAGTTCCGCGCTTATGGTGGTCTATAACCGAGAGTAAGTGGGAGAGGAATGGTAAGGGATCTTGGTTGGGGGCGTAATATGCTACAATGGTAACATCTATGTCCAGGAGTTGCCCTATTAACAAGAGGTAGCGACCCTCTGGGTCTTTGATTGCGGTACATAGCTTGAAAGGTGTTGTGCGGTGGAAGGCTATCAGCACCCCCCTGCGCTTGGTGGTGGCAGAAGCTGTATAGACCTGAGGGTATCGAGGGCCAAAAAACTTAGGAGTGGAGTTGGGAGTGAAATGCGTTTCCTGTAGACAGACCACGTGAGCTTTAAGTGTAGCAAAGGTTCGGAAAGCCTTATTCCGTTTCTGGGGAATATTGAGACCCTGTAAATTCAGGGTAAGGATATTTAACAAGCCCATGGGTAAAGTGCAAAGTGGTTTGTATAGCGTGGCACTCCCACTCGTGATGTAGCCTGACGATTACTACAGGGGATGAGAGCGTTACGAAGCGTGTTGTGCGAAGTCATGGAGTCATGTTGGAAGGAAGGAGGGGGGGTACGGTATGAAAAAGGTAACAGGTGAGAAGGGGTGTAGAAGGCCATTTGTGGCCTAAAAGGTGTGTTCCTAAGGACATCCTGAATCAGGGTTGGCCAGGGAACAACAATAGCCCAAGTGTTATTAAAGAACCAATAACACAGGGGCTAAGGTGGAGTGTGCAGGTACGCGGACCGTGAGGGTGACAGCAGCGTATTTAATAAATGGTGGCTAGGTCCCGGTAGAAAAAAGTAGGTACATAAGAAAGAACATTCGAGAAAATCAGGGATCCTAGACTCAGACGGCACTAGTAGTGCTAGTTAGACAACGTTAGTGCAAGGGTGTGGTATCTCATGTCGCCAAAGCCCTGGATC